AAGGCACCCAAAAATGAATCAAAAACAGGGGGAGGGCAGCCAAAATTAAGGGAAAGGACCAAAATCTGAACAATGCAACTAAAACTGGGGAAAGGACCCTAAACAGAGGGGAAAGACCCAAAAGAAGGGGAAAGAACCCAAAATGGGGTTAAAGGACCCTAGAGAGGGAGAAAGGACCTGAAAGAGGGGGAAAGGGGGAAAGGACCCAAAACAAGGAGCAAAGACACAAAACCAGAGGTCAAAGTGTTGTTGGTACTGTGGGGTGTCATGGGGTGTCCCTATCTGTGCCGGGACAGGTGCAGACGCTCAGTGCAAGGAACAGCCACAGGAACATCCTATGGGACACGGGAACACCCTGCGGGACACGTGAATATCCTGAAGAACACGGCCCCGGGACCTCGGGGAATTTGGTCCCGCCGGGGTGGGGGGGGGGGGGGGGGGGGGGGGCGGACAGGGGACACACAGAGAGGGACAGGGACACACGGGGGAGATGGGGACGGGGACAGGGACACACGACAGTGGACAAGGACACGTGCAGAGGGGTAGGAACATACGGGTGGGGGACAGTGATACACAGAGTGAAGGGGGGACAGGGACACACACAGGGAGAAGGGAACATGATGCTACCAGGATACTCATGTGGGGACGCTGCCACCAGGACATGTCAGCACAAGAAGTCACCAGGACGTGTCAGAGGACGCTGCCGCCAGAATGTGTATTAGGACAAAAGGCGGATCCGGTGACACGCAGAGCCGTGCCACGTGACCCCGCGCCGCGCCACGTGACCCCGCGGGTGACACCGCCCACACCCGACCCTTGCCCTGTCCCCTGCCTGTCCCCAGGAGCGGTTCTATGGCGGTGGCCACAGCGCTAGGTTCCCTGGGCGCAGTGGCCCTGGGCACCTTCGTGGTGGCCCTGCTGCTGCGGTGGCTCTGGGATGCGCTGGTGGCTGTCACCCGATTCCGGGCCACTTGTCTCCAGCTGAACAAGTTCCCCATCCCGCCCTGGCGCAATTGGTTGCTGGGACACACCGGCATGGTGAGGGGACAGGGGGTGGCATCTGCGGGGACAGTGGGGACAGGGGTGGAGGCACCTGCAAAGGAACAATTGGGTGGTGGCACCTGTGAGGGGACCGAAGGAATGGGGTGGTGGCACTTGGGGGGATGGTGAGGACGGGGTGGTGGCACCTGCAAGGGGAAGGTGGGGCAGACACACATGTCCCCAAGGCTGGCAGTGTGCTGAGGACACACATGTCCCCAAGGCTGGCAGTGTGCTGAGGACACACATGTCCCTGAGCCTATCTGTGCCCCCAATGGCACACATGTCCTGTTGTCCCCAGGGCCAGAGCACAGAGGAAGGCCTACAGCAGGTGGACACCTTGGTGGCCCAATATCGTCATGGCTGCCTCTGGTGGGGACTTCCCTGGCTGCCTGTGCTGCGCCTCTTCCACCCCAGCACCCTCCAGCCACTCCTCAGTGCCTCAGGTAGGACATGGGACATCAGACGGGTCCCCAGGGCCACCCATGGGTGTCACCGCACCTGGCACAGAGACCTGGCAGTGGCCACCAACCCAAGCCCACAGGTCCCCAGAGGTGTCACCATTGGCAGGCCAAATGCCACCCCATAGTGGCCACCAACCTGTCCTTGAGGTTCCCCAAGGTCACCCAAAGGTGTCACCATGTCCAGCCTCTAGTTGTCCCCCAACCCTCATCCTTTGGTGGCCATGGGTGCTGGGAGAGGGTCCCCACCTGAGGGTTAATGGGTGCAGACAGGGTGGTGCCACCCCCAGTGTCCCCAGGCAGGGAACCTGATGGCACCCCAGTGAATCCCTGCCCACCCCATCCTTGTATCCTGCAGCTTTTGTGGCCCCCAAGGATAAAATTTTCTACGGCTTCCTCAAGCCCTGGCTGGGTGAGTGGGGGGGGGGGGGGGGGTTTGGATGGGGACAGCACCCCGGGGTGCCCCGCGAATGGAGTTGGGTGTCACAGGGGTGGGGACAGCACACCTGGGTGGCCCCCTAGGATGGATCCAGGTGTGCCACATGGGACAGGGGCGGTGGGGGACAGGGACATCATCTTTGGGTGTCCCCAGATGGATTGCTGTGTGTCACAGAGGACAGGGGCGGTGGGGGACAGGGACAACCCCCTGGGTGCCCTTGGCGGACCTCGGTGTCCCCTCCCCAGGAGAGGGGCTGCTGCTGAGCAATGGGCAGCGCTGGGCACGGCACCGGCGACTCCTGACACCTGCCTTCCATGGGGATGTGCTCCGGAATTACCTGGGAATCTTCAACCAGAGCACCCGCGTGCTGCTTGTGAGAGATCCCAGATGGGCATGAGTCTCCACCTGCACCCCAAATCATGAGTGCTGCACCCCAAAGTCCAACCTGCATCCCAAACCCTGAGTCCTGCACCCAGAATTCTGTTCTGCACCCACTGCTGCATCCTGAGTCCTGTCCTGCACCCTGAGTCCCGTCCTGTACCCAAATTCTGTACTGTCCCATACCCCAAACCCAAAGCTGCCCCCAAACCCCAACCCACCCCTCGTTCATCACCACATTCCTGTTCCACACCTGCTTCCCACTCTTCCCCCTCTCCCACCCCTGTCCCACCCCCCAGTTTATCCCCTGTCCCTGATCCCCTCCCTGTTCCCTCCCCAACCCAGTCCTTCCCCGCAGGCCAAGTGGGGGTCAGCAGCAGTGGCAGCTGGTGGGGGGCCAGTGGAGTTGGAGGTGCTCCAGCCCCTGAGCCTCCTCACCCTGGACACGCTCCAGAAGTGCATCTTCAGCCACGAGAGCCACTGCCAGGAGTGAGTGTCACCTGTCCCCATTGACCATCTTGGTAGCCCTGGTGACCCTACCATTGTCCCTGCTGGCCATCCTGGTGGCTGTGCTGGCCTTGCCATGGTCCCCACTGGCCATCCTGTCCCATCATTGTCCTTCTTGATCATTCTGGTGGCCCAAATGGTCCTGCTATCATCCATGCTGGTGGCCACAGTGTCTCCCCATTGTCCCTGGTACAGGCGGCCCAGCGAGTACATCCAGGCCATCCTCGAGCTGAGCTCGTTGGTGGTGCGGCGCCAGTTCCAGCCACTTCTCCACCCGTGGTGGCTCTACAGCCTCTCCTCTGATGGCCGGCGCTTCGCCCGCGCCTGTGCCACTGTCCATGCCTTCACTGCTGATGTGGTGCAGCGCCGGCGCCAGGCACTTGCCTGCCTGGGCCACCAGGCCTGGCTGGACGGCCACTGGGGACGCAGCATGGACTTCATCGACCTCCTGCTGCTCACCAAGGTGGGGCTGGGGTGGTGGCCATGGGGACATGGAAGTGGTCAAGAGAGTGGTGGTGGCCATGGAAGGGTTGGCCATAGAGGCCACTACCATGGTGGTGGCCATGGGGGGCTTGGGCATAGACTGGTGGCCACAGGGGAACAGTGGTGGCCATGGGCAGCATTGACCATAGAGCTGGTGGCCAGTGGGATTGTGGTGATATAGGGTGGTGGCCATGGATGGGATTTGGCCCCAGGTGGCCCACGGACTGGTGGCCCCAGTGGCCCATGGCTCATCTTGCCCCTGCAGGACGAGAATGGCCACACTCTGTCGGACGAGGACATCGCGGCTGAGGCTGACACCTTCATGTTTGAGGGTGAGCACGAGCTCCCAGGTGCCATTGGGAAGGAGCCACTCCAGTGTCCCCTCACTCACCCAATGTCCCCACAGGCCATGACACCACAGCCAGTGGCCTAGCATGGCTCTTCTACAACCTGGCCAGCCATCCTGAGCACCAGGAGCGATGCCGCCAGGAGGTCCAGGAGCTTCTGGCTGGCCGGGACACTGCAGACATTGAATGGTGAGATGTCCCCAGGGCCTCCCCGGTCATGTGGCTTGGGGACATGGTGCCACCCCTGCTTGTCCCCAGGGAGGACCTGTCCCAGCTGCCCTTCACCACGATGTGCATCAAGGAGAGCCTGCGGCTGCACCCTCCTGTCACTGCTGTGTCCCGGCGCTGCACTGAGGACATCCCCCTGCGTGATGGCCGTGTCATCCCCAGGGGTATGGCATGGCCAGGGTGTCCCCAGTGTCACCACCCACCCTCATCTGCTTTCCCTAAAGCGGCCATTCCCATTCCACCAGGAGTCATCTGCCTGATGAGCATCTACGGGACCCACCACAACCCAGACCTCTGGCCCGAGCCTGAGGTAGGGCCACCCTATGAGGTGTACCTGTCACCATGGTGGTGACAGCTGTGTTCCCTCGGTGTGACTGTGTCGGTGTCACCCCAGGTGTTCAATCCTCTGAGGTTCAGTCCGGAGAACAGCAAGGGACGGTCCCCGTCGTCCTTCATCCCCTTCTCTGCTGGCCCCAGGTATGTGCTGGAGTGGGGACAGGAGTGTCCCCAAGTGTCACCCCTGTCCCTGGCTGAGTTCACAGTGGGGTGACAGTGACAGTGGCGATGTGGTGGCAGGAACTGCATCGGACAGAGCTTTGCCATGGCTGAGATGAAGGTGGTAGTGGCATTGACACTGTCCCGGTTCGTGCTGCGGAGGGACAACATGAGGCCACCCCCGCGCCGCAAGCCCGAGCTGATCCTGCGTGCCGAGGACGGGCTCTGGCTGCTGCTGGAGCCACTGGTGGGAGTGGCCTGAGTGACACGGGTCACCAGGACATGGGGACATCCCGCAAGGCAGGTGTCACAGCCAGGGGAGGAGCAGGGAATAAATGGTAGCATGAAGGGACATTTTCATGGTGGTGGTGGGGATGTGTTGTCCTTGGCCATGGGACACTCCATGGCATGGACATGTCAACCCATGGACTTGTCCCTTAGCCACTTGTGTCACCATCCATGGCCATGTCCCCCATGTCCTCATCCATGGCCATATAACCCCATATCACCATCTATATCTGTGACACCCCCCCATGCCCAATATCGCCATCCACAGCCATGTCCTCACCCATGTCCTTGTCCATGTCCCCATCCCCACCATGTCCCCCAATGTCACTATCCATGTCTTAGCTGAATGTCTTTATTTTACGCCAATATTTGGGTGAAGGGATGAAGAAAAATGAAGGAAAATCAAAGTCAAAATAAAAGGATTTACGTGTCCATGCTGCTGAGTATCCATGTGCCTGGGCGGGTAGAAGGTAGACCTTTTCTAGAGGGATTTCCACTCCATTGTCTCCAAAATCCTGGTTTTTTGCTCCAGTCCATTACTATTTGGCTGTGGAAGATGCCTGTGGGCCAGAGAGAATTACAATCATGGAATGATTCAGGTTGGAAAAGACCTCCAACACAATCCAGTATTCCTTGATGCCACCTGAAGAAATGATTGGATGCAAAAGGTGAGACTTTTTGGGGGTCGAAAGAAAAAAACTGTGCTGTCCCCTATGAAATTCTGATGTCTGTTTGCATCCCAATGGATTTTTTTCTGGCTCCGTCCAAGTGCCCAAGGGGAGCCAGGAAGATGTGGAGACCACCAGCCAGGTGTCTTCCTAACATGGATCACCAGGACCATAGATGACCATGTCTCTGCCCAGTGAGAGTCACTGTGAACCATCCAATGGTGGTCCTCCAATATGGGATGGAGTTGAAGCAGCACTCAAAGCTCTTCCTGCACACAGGGCACTTGTAGGGCATCCCTTACTGCTGCCTCCCTTGGTGTTGGGTCATGGTAGAGTCCTGGGAGAAGCTCTTCCCACACTTGGGACACTGTTAGGGCCTCTCCCCAGTGTGGATCCGCTGGTGGGTGAGGAGGGTGGTTTTTCTTAAAGCCCTTCCTGCAGTCAGGGCAGCAGAAGGGCCTCTATTCTGTGTGAATCTGCTGATGCTTGAGGAGATGGTATTGACTCTGAAACCTCTCCCCACACTCAGAACACTCATAGGGCCTCTCCCCAGTGTGGATCCTCTGGTGGGCAATCAGGTTGGAGTTCTGGCTGAAGCACTTCCCACATTCTGAGCACATGCAGGGGCATTCCCCAGTGTGCATTGTCTGGTGGATGATCAGGTCAGAGCTGTTACGGAAGCCCTTCTCCCATTCCCCACACACATAGGGTCGTATCCCACTGTGGATCATCTGATGGCAGTTCAGATGGCAGCTCTTCCTGAAGCCTTTCCCACATTCTCCACATTTATAGGGCCGTTCATCAGTGTGGATCCTCTGGTGGCGGATCAAACTGGAGCTCAGGCTGAAGGGCCGTTCATCAGTGTGGATCCTCTGGTGGCGGTACAGGTGGGAGATGATCCTGAAGCTCTTCCCACATTCCCCACACTCATGGGGCCGTTCCCCGGTGTGCATCCTCTGGTGGAGGACCAGGCGTGAGCTCATGAGGAAACTCTTCCCACATTCCAAGCATTGGTGGGGCTTCTTGCCATCATCAAGCTGCTCATTGACCACCAACCAGCTCAGAGCTCTGGCCAGATCTCTGGCTGCCTTCCTGGCACAGGGTGTGTCTTTCCTCCTTGGAGCATCCTGGGCTGGGTTTGGAGCCCCTCCTCCTGCAGGTTCTCTGGGGCTTTTCCTCCCCGTTGGATTCCTGCGCCATGGAGCCACTCAAAATGGCCACAAGGTTCTGCCTCCCTAGATTTGTCCTCCCTGCTCTCCATCCTCAGCTCCTTCCCTGGGGGAGGAAGGACAAGGAGAGGATGGGATTTGCCTCCGTGCCACAGGGAAGGGGAAGGAGATCCCCCCAGTGCATCCCTGGCTGGACAGCATCAGCAGTGGGGCTGTCCTGCAGCCGGGGGCCGTGCTGGGCTGGGAGATGGAGCAGGAGAGAGGGGGAAAGGGGCATTGACTTCCTCCTCACCTGCCAGGCTATCCCAAGGCATCTTCCTCTTCCTCGCAGACTTCTCCTCTATCCAGATAAGGTTTGGAAATGGGAAATCCTGATTTGAGGGAAAAACAAGATGTGAGTGCATTGCCTTCAAAGGTCCCACTGGCCAAGTCCATCTCTAGAAGTCACCGGCTGTCTGGTGGCCAGAAATATCTCCAAAAAGCAAGAAGTCCAAAAATCTCTCCCAGGAGTTCCCTGTTTCCAGTGTCCTCACTTTGGGGTTATCAGGGTCCCTCTTCTCAGAGCTGCTGGGGGCCCATGGGTCCTGGGCATTCCCCCTCTCCTAGGTTCTGCTTACACAGGCTGAGGGTCTTTTGGGGGTCCCAGGGATGAATTTATGATGCTTGTATCCCCATTTGTCTGAAATAAGTTTTGCACCTTTAACACTGGTTCTGAGAACACAGAGGGAGGAAGAAGAAGCACGGAATTTGTTTTCAGAACCTCTTTCACTCCTCCACATTCCTGCTCTTCTGTTGTCTGCAGATGGACAGACAGTGGGACAGAGCCCTCCTTTGCTTTTAGTTAGTTTTAGCTACCAGAGGAGAAGTTCCCTGGACTGTGGTTTTTGGTTTTTCCTTTTTTTTGGACCTGTCTAAACCTGCTCTGGACTGAACACCCAGAAGATCACCAGGTGCTCACACCTGAGCCCCACCAGGGCTGGGCCACGGCATTTTCAGCACCTGAGAGACTGATAAGAGACTGAGCGAACCAAGCTACAGCCCATGGAGGGACTTTGTGAGTTTGTCATCTCTTTTGGAATAGCAAGAGGTTTTATTGTTTAATATTGCTCATTTTTGGGGCTGGTGAGTGCTTTGCCTGTTAAAGAAACAGTTTTTTCCACTTCTCTCCAAGGAAATCTTTTTCCAGAACCAGATGATGGAGGGGCTGCTTGAATTTGCTCTTCTAGAGGAAACACCTTTAGAGGTTTTTCTCCCAAAATTGCCCTAAACCAGGACATTGGCTTTGAAGGTCCCACTGGCCAAGTCCATTTCCAGAAGTCTCTGGGTGTCTGGTGGCCAGAAAAACTTCCAAAAATCAAGGAGACAAAAAAACCTCTCCCAGGCATTCCCTGTTTCCAGTGTCGTTATTTTGGGGTTTGGGGGTTCCTCTTCTCAGAGCTGCTGGGGGCCCGTGGGTCCTGGGCATCCCCCCTCCCCCGGGTCCTGCTCAGGCATGCTGAGGGTCTTTTGGGGATCTCAGGGCTCATCCTCTCCTCATTCGAACGCGGCTCCCAGGTGTTCCAGAGTCCCCTTCTTCTGCATCCCTCCACTCCAGGCACTCAGCGCTTCCCCTGCTCCCCGACTATACTTTCAGGGTCGGGGAGCCCAGGCCCCACTCATCTCCCGGCTCCACCACCCCTCCAGCCTGCCGGAGCTCCCCCAGCTCTGCTATCGCCCCTCTCCCCACGCCGGGGCTCCCGCCTTTCATCCCCCGGCTCTCACGGAGATCCCCAAAACCCGTATCCCGCCCCGCCGTAACCGGGCGATCGCCACGTGGGGCCCGCAAAATCCCCCCAGGACCATTTCCGGCTCAGCTTTGCACTCCTGCGAGATCCAAAAATATCTCCTCATCAAATTAATAAAGAATACCTCTCTCAGCGACACCGAAATATAATTGGCAATCGACTCCGGAATCGGCAGGGCCTAAACCACAGCAAAATCTCCCTCTCCCCGCCAAAAAAAAAACACTCCCGGAGCTGCCGCGATCGACTCGGGGCGCGCTTCTCCTCCGCGCTCACCTGCGGGATGCGGGGCAATGCGATGCTGCCGTAGCCAGTCGAGCTGCGGGCTCAGCGGGCTCGCCGTGGAACCCCGCAATGCTCCCTCCCCTGCTGCTGCTCCTCCTCGAGTGCTCGCCTTCGTGCTCCTTCTGTTCCTGCTCCTCCTTCTTCCCTCTCCTTCCCCTTCTTCCCGCTCCTCCTCCGCCCCCGCCCTAGATCCTCCTTTCGCAGCCCCTCTGCCCCACGGCCGTAGCAGCACCGGCTCTGGGGTAGGGGGAGAAACCCCCAGAGCCCCCAGCGATGGGCAGGGGGCTCGGGGGCCCCCCAGTGCAGGTCCGTCCGTCCCGTCCCCCTCCCCCCGAGCCAAAATTCCGCTCCCGGGGCTCTCTAGGTACGAGCGGTGGCGCAGGTGGGGTGGAAGTGGGGAGCGCTGGGCGCTGCGGCTCTTCCCGAGAACTGCGGAGTCACTGCTAAGGAAATCGGTCAGAGCGGAATTCCTCTGCCTGGAACTGGGGAGAGGCCCTGACAGCGTCCCGAATGCGGAAGCGCTTCTCCCAGAACTCCACCGGGACCCGACGCCAAGGGAGGCAGCACCAAGGGAATCCCTGCAGGTGCCCCCAGTGCGGGAGGAGCTTCGTGCGCTGCTCCAGCTCCATCCCCCATGGGAGGTTCCGCGCTGGATAACCTACAGTGACTCTCATTGGACAGAGACTCGGCGATCCGTAGTCTTAGTGATCACGGATCACCCAGGAGCCCAGCCCCCTGCCCATCGCTGAGGGCTCCTGGGGGTTTCTCCCCCTACCCCAGAGCCGGTGCTGCTACGGCCGTGGGGCAGATGGGGTGCGAAAAGAGGATCTAGTACGGGGGCGGAGGAGGAGCGGGAGGAAGGGGAGAGAGAGGGGAAGGGGAGGAGCAGGAACAGAAGGAGCACGAAGGCGAGCACTCGAGGAGGAGCAGCAGCAGGGGAGGGAGCATTGCGGGGTTCCACGGCGAGCCCGCTGAGCCCGCAGCTCGACTGGCTACGGCAGCATCGCATTGCCCCGCATCCCGCAGGTGAGCGCGGAGGAGAAGCGCGCCCCGAGTCGATCGCGGCAGCTCCGGGAGTGTTTTTTTTTGGCGGGGAGAGGGAGATTTTGCTGTGGTTTAGGCCCTGCCGATTCCGGAGTTGATTGCCAATTATATTTCGGTGTCGCTGAGAGAGGTATTCTTTATTAATTTGATGAGGAGATATTTTTGGATCTCGCAGGAGTGCAAAGCTGAGCCGGAAATGGTCCTGGGGGGATTTTGCGGGCCCCACGTGGCGATCGCCCGGTTACGGCGGGGCGGGATACGGGTTTTGGGGATCTCCGTGAGAGCCGGGGGATGAAAGGCGGGAGCCCCGGCGTGGGGAGAGGGGCGATAGCAGAGCTGGGGGAGCTCCGGCAGGCTGGAGGGGTGGTGGAGCCGGGATGAGTGGGGCCTGGGCTCCCCGACCCTGAAAGTATAGTCGGGGAGCAGGGGAAGCGCTGAGTGCCTGGAGTGGAGGGATGCTGGACAAAAGGGACCCTGGAACACCTGGGAGCCGCGTTTGAATTGATATAAAATTTCAATAGTCAATCCGAATTTTATTTCTATATCCTTTTATTTTAAAACAAGCAAGCGAGCAGCGCTGGCTGGCCGGGGAGCCACTGCTCCACTCACGGCACACACCACTTAAAAGTTTGGTAAAGTATATTTACTGTTTTTAAGCCCACAAAGCATTTTCTAATGTGCTTGGTTAGTCCAAATCAGCAAATAACAATAAGCTAGGATCAGGAATTTCATAATCTTTCCAAGTGGCCGTTGATTCCTATCCTTCTGGAGGGAGGCCTTACACTGCTGTCTGCTACATGATTTTGCCAAGTGTATCAAGCTTTTTATTATACATAAGCATTTAATTGCTTTGTTGCAATATCTCTTAGCTTTACCCCAACTTCCTCTATTTTATTCTAAGTATCAGTCGTCTTGCTACCTCATCTCTTTTACTCTACTATACTTCTTTGATTTTGTTGCTTTATTTGGCTATTTGGTCAGAAAGTTTCAAAACTTTTCATTGTGTCTATTTTGGACACAGCAGATAGAAGCATTTGCTGATTCCATTGCCAATTGACACAAACCACAAAAATATTTTTTACAATCCTTCCCCTTTATGTTATTGATTCATGTCTTTGCTTCAAATTGAGCTAATACTTTTTGTGTTGCAGTTTTTTGGTTCTGCTTTGCCTTGACTATCATAAGGGAGTGAGTTTCTTCTCCCGTGGTGGTTGTTATTTTAGGGTTTATGGGCGTTGCTGAAATCTGCATTCCCTGGATCACTGAGTATATTAGCCTAATAAAGCATGGAACCATACATGGTATAAACAATAGACCTAATGCAGAACAAAGCAACATGAACCCTCATTTTTCCACTAGGCTCCTTCAAACAAATTATTCCACCAATTGTCAGTTAATGTGGAATTCCATTTTTGTACTGGAACACATGCAACTTGTTTAATTTCGCCTGCCAAATTTGTAATAGCTTCTCCATTGTCATCAATCTCTAAACAGCACTCAGATGTATTAAATTTTCCACAAAACCCCCTTCTTCAGCTAATAAATAATCTAGGACTAGCCTATTCTGATATACTGCCGCTCTGGTCTGGTTTAGTTGTCTAGCTACAAGCTTCAGTGCCTCTGATGTTTAATTAGAAGTAATTTCTGCAATGGCCTGTAATCTAATGATTAGGTTAAGCATATACATAGGGGTTCTATAACCCCAACTGCCATCCTGAGCCCAGGAGGCAGGATTGTAGTAATCTGTGATCTGTTGGGAAGTCCATTCTTCATTTTTCCAGGACTGTTTTCCTCCTATTCCAGTTTGTTTTCTTCTGCGCAGAGTTTCATAAAGAGGTAGTACTAAATATTCACCTTTGCTCTTTGGTAGCAAAAAGAATGCAGGTTGTATAATTCCAATCGTACAGGTACCTCTCCATCTCTTTGATATTCAGTATATGCCCTTTTACCAGCAATTGAAAATAATCCATTTGAAGCTGTCTAATTTTCAGCCATCTGCCCCAGATTTTCCCAATATCCCCTAAGATCTTTTACCTCTTCAAAAGGATTAGCATGTGTTACACTTTTCCAGAAAACAGTTCCCTTGGTACAGTTGATAGACCAATAACCTGTTGGTGGTTTTGGCCACCACGTTGTAAAAGTGGAGTTGGTGGTATATATTATCTTGCAATGGGTGTGTCCTACGTTTGTAGTAAAATTGTTTCCTTTCCTAGAAATACAAATTTGACCTACTACTTCATGACTCAATGTTTACCCCTCAGGTTGAATTTCATTAAATCTTTGTGTCCTGTTCCGTAATATCAACTGATCAGGTCCAACCCCTTCTCCTCTCCATGGCCATTGCTCAGTCATTTGGGATCCCCATAAACCCAACAGTTAGTCACATTTAATTCCTTAACTACTTTTTGCATCAGATCAATACACAAATTTTTTTCCTAACATAGGGAGGTCCCGATCACTGAGTCTTTTCTTAATTTTTTTATACAGGTCACTTCCTGCTCTTGTTCTTTTTTGGTTTGAATTTCCCCTAAATTCTTTGTGACTTTTTTCACTAATTCTTCCTTGAATTTATCTTGTACTCCCCCTATATCTGAGTATCCCCACATTCCGCCTTTGGTAAAACAGAGGAATGGTTCTCCCCGGGGACAAAATTGATAGTTTTGAGGTGCCCATTCTCCCATTCCTGAATTTGTTGCTACCCAGTAACTCTTTTTGTACAGGTTTCAAGTTTTCCTGGCTCATAACATCCTGCATTAATATGAGTGTTTGCTGCAAATGCTCGGGCTGTGGTCCAGCCATACTTTACATTTTGGTAGCCCTTCAAGCAGGGATTGGTTATCCCATTCCATGGAAGACTCAGCAGTACCAGAAGGCCCCACAGTTTTATTATCCCTCTACCTCCTCTGCCTACTGGGGTGCTCCCAGCAGTGAGGGGTACCATCTTCTCAGCAGCAAGGATATTCTTCAGGGGTTCTGTATGAGCTTTCCCAGGTTTCGTGCCATTTCTTAAATACTTCCCACTTCTTTGCTTTGACTGGCTCGGATCCGCAAGGGACTCGATTACGTTTGCGATGCTCAATCTTTTTATTTTTTGCCTCACTTGATCGTCCCCCTCTTAATCTATATTTCCATAACATCCACCACTCATAAGAATCTAGTTCTAATGTCCATTCCTCTATTCTCTTTTCTTTTTTACAATATATTCAGTTAAATTCTGTTCAATGTGTTTACACTCTGGACACAATCCACTTGGAGGATAACCCCTGCAACAATGATAATACCACCTCTTCTTACAATAGTTTCATTCAGTGCTTCCAAAGGGATAGCAATTGCAATCCTTTTCAGTACAGGTTATTATATCTCCCAGCATCTCTTGAGAATATGGCATCCCATATAACACATTATATGGGGAGATCCCATGCTCTGAGTTCGGCATTGTTCGAATATTTAACAACACCAGTGGTAAGCACTTAATCCAAGATAGTTTTGTTTCAATTGTTAGTTTTGCTAGCTGATGCTTTAGGGCCTGGTTCATTCTTTCTACTCTCCCCAAACTCTGAGGGTGCCAAGGGGTATATTATTCCCAAGAGATCCCTAGAGCTTTCATTACTTTTTTTAACACTTTTGAGGTAAAGTGAGAACCTTGATCCGAAGCAATCACTCCAATCATCCCAAATGGTGGAATTATTTCTTCTAAAATAATCTTTGTAACAAAATGTGCTGTTGTTCGTGTCACAGGGTAGGTCTCTACCCAATGAGTTAATTGGTCTACTATTACCAACAAATACTTATATCTTCCCACTTTCAGTAGTTTGGTAAAATCCACTTGTATCTTTTCAAAAGGCCTATACGCAGTTTTTCTGCCTTCCTCGCAGTTTTTCTGTGGGGTCTGTCTAGATGTCTTCTTGTTAATTTTCTGGCAAATAATGCATCCTTGTGTCTTCTGTTTTGCTATATCAAATATTCTTAGACACCCTAAAAACTTTAAAAAGTGGTCGCTTAGTGCTCGTGTTGGCCAATGAGTTCATTAATGTAACTGGTGAATTATTCTTTTAACATAACTTTTAGATAGCATTTCTCTACCATCTGGTAAAAGCCACTTATCCCCTTCTTGCTTAGCCCCTAGTTTCTCCATCACTTGTATTTCCTTTGAGATACAGCATTTTTGATACTTTGTATCATCTTCACTTTTATTCAAATTATTTAAGAACACGGTAAGCATACTGCTGCCCTTTGTGCTTCTGCATCAGCCAAATTATTCCCATGAGTCCAATAATCCATTCCCCTCTGGTATCCTCTTACATGGACAACAGCTATCCCTGATGGTACCCTCAAAGCTTCTAATACTCTTATTCTTAGGGAAACAATTGGATTACTTATTTCTATCTTAATGGGTCCAATCTTCAGCTTTCCTATTATGGTGCCACACTTTTGGATTAATTTTGTCTTTCTCTTGTGACATTAAGGTATAAAAGTGTACCTGTAGTTCTTGTTTCACTTCTAAATTTACTCCTAAATCTAGAATTAATTTTTTTCTTAGCAAATTATTTTCTTCTTCTGGTACCAATAACAAATCATTCAAACAAATCTTATTTTCTGATTAAATTTCAACATTTTTAAGTATGGCTACCTTAAGTGGTTCCCCTTTTGCTCCCACAACTAGAGCAATTTCTTTACTAATTTTACACCCTTTGGGGAGGTGCTGTATAGTTGATCTTTCTGCTCCAGTGTCTACTAAAAAGGTAATTTCTTCCCCTTGTGGACCTGTTTTTGGTTTTATCAAGGACTTTTTCTATGTTCTGGTCCCCAAGATGTACAGCCCCTGACACCCCTATTTGTCCTCTTCAAACATTTTTTTTCTTTTTTTTTCATCTTTTTGTCGTTGCTTACAGTTTCGTTCTGTGTGTCTTCTTCTTCCTCAGTAATGGCAATGATAATCTGCAGGACCATCTCTGGGGTTTCTAATTTGGGGAAGTTTCTTACAATCTCCCCTAGGTCTTTGTTCTGCTGTTCTGCTTTCTTTTCCCCCTTCTGAGTTTCCCTCAGAGCTGCTACAAATATCTTGGCTTTTGCCTTTTGTTTTTCTTTATCTCTCCTCATGTACACCTTTTGGGCTTCCCACAGTAGCTCTTGGAGACCGCAGTCCTGCCAATCCTCTCATTTCTCTAGCCTTTTTTTTTTTTTTTTGTATGTCTCCCCATAATTTTGCCACAAATTGAGTTATAAGCAATGCAACTCCTACTGGGGAATCTGGGTCCACTCCTGAATACTTTTGTAGGCCCTTTCTGAGCCTCTCAAGCCAATCTGTAGGTGTTCCATCTTTTTCTTGGCGCACACTGAAGGCCTTGTTAATATTTTGCCCTCGAGGCATGCTGTATCCCTTGTCTAATGATATCTCTAAGGTCCCTCATATTTTGTCTGTCCTGCTCATTCTGATTAGGCCATTTTTGATCACCACGTGGACCCTGCCTGGTGTCTTCTTCCCAGTCTCTCATTCCTGCTTGCCTAATCATTTCCCTTTCCTCTATAGTAAATAGTATTGCTAATATAGCTTGAAGCTCATCCCAGATGTAGGTATTTGGGCCTAAAAATTGGTCTAAGCTCTCGGAAACCCCTAAAGGATTTTCAAGCAGCTGCCCCATTTCCTTTTCAAATTCTCTTACATTCCCAGTATTAAGTGGGACTGTTACCAACCCTATTCCCCTATCATTTCTTCCCATAAGTACTTCTCTCAAGGGGAATAGTCTCTTCATCTTTCTCCTCCCCACTAGAATTATTTTCCTCACGTTGTTTTCTCCTCTTGCTCCAAGTCCTACTAGATGGTGGTGATAGGGCTGGAGTTGTCAAGCTCCTGGGCCTCTCAGGGGAGGAGAGAGTTTCCTGCCCTTGATAGGGAGGGGGCAAATTGTCTAATGGTTCCCAACCTTTTTCTTTTTCTTCCATCTTTCTCCTGTTTTTAGTTTTCAGGGGGTATAATGTTATCGCTACAGAGACCCCCCTCCAAAGTGCCACATAATGACTTTCCTCCTGATCAAAGGGTTCCTTACTATTTACATAAATATTTAAAGCTTGACACATCCAGTCATCAAAGGACCCAAACATTGGCCAATATAAATGATCATGCCTAATTTCTTCCTTAGTCCTCTCTACCATACAATAATGTAGCCGCTTTTCTTTACTTTTCCCCTTCCAAGAGGGCATTGCATCCCAATGTGCAGTCATTAATCCCAGGGGGTATCTCTGGTTACTCACTCCCTTTCTTGTTTTTAGAGCCTCTCTGGGGGCCCCATAACCTTGAGCCTCTCTTGGGGCCCTTTGAGCCTCTCTGGGGGCTCGTTGAACCTCTCTGGGGGGTCCTTGAGCCAGAGGTCTTACTGTTCCCCTGACCCATTGTGACCACTGTCTCACACCACTCGCTTGGTCCCTTCACTGGCCAAGCCCCTCGCGGGGTGATGGAACTGCAGAGAGAAGGACTCGTTGATCACTCCGCAATAATATTGAGTCTCACTCTCTCACTTTCAATCAGACACTGTCACATCCACCCAACTGAACGATACTCACAGCCCACTGTTCTTGTCTGGATCTTCGTGCACTAGAATTACAGGTGATTTAAACTGCAGTTCTTAGGGAACTCAGTTCCTTGCTTGCTTTCTTTACCGGGTTTGTGGTGCTGTTAGCTTCTAGGCTATTGGCCTCTACGGGCCACAAAAGTGGGGTGCCCCGTGCAGTAGCTGTGGTGTTGTGGCCTGTGGGGACATTGGGTGAGTGAGGGGACACTGGAGTGGCTCCTTCCCAATGGCACCGGGGAGCTCATGCTCACCCTCAAACATGAAGGTGTCAGCCTCAGCCACGATGTCCTCATCCGACAGGGTGTGGCCATTCTCGTCCTGCAGGGGCAAGATGAGCCATGGGCCACTGGGGCCACCAGTCCGTGGGCCACCTGGGGCCAAATCCTATCCATGGCCACCGCTTTGGCCCCATGGCCACCACCCTATGTCACCACAATCCCACTGGCCACCAGCCCTATGGTCAATGCTGCCCATGGCCACCACTGTTCCCCTGTGGCCACCAGTCTATGCCCAAGCCCCCCATGGCCACCACCATGGTAGTGGCCTCTATGGCCAACCCTTCCATGGCCACCACCATCCCCTTGACCATCATCCCATGATGGTCACTATCATCTCCCCATGGCCACAACCACCCTCTTAACCACTTCCATGTCCCCATGGCCACCATCCCAGCCCCACCTTGGTGAGCAGCAGGAGGTCGATGAAGTCCATGCTGCGTCCCCAGTGGCCGTCCGGCCAGGCCTGGTGGCCCAGGCAGGCAAGTGCCTGGTGCTGGCACTGCACCACATCAGCGGTGAAGGCGTGGACAGTGGCACAGGCGCGGGCGAAGCGCCGGCCATCAGAGGAGAGGCTGTAGAGCCACCATGGGTGGAGAAATGGCTGGAGCTGGCACCGGACCACCAACGAGCTCAGCTCCAGGATGGCCTGGATGTACTCGCTGGGCCGCCTGTACCAGGGACAATGTAGGGGACACTGTGGCCACCAGCGTGGATGATAGCAGGACCATTGGGGCCACCAGAATGACCAACAGGGACAGTGGTGGGACCATGATGGCCAGTGGGGACTATGGTGGGGCCTATGCAGTCATCAGGATGGTCAACAGGGACCATGGTAGGGCCAGCACAGCCACCAGGATGGCCCACAGGGACAATGATGGGACAGGATGGTCAACAGGGACTACAGCAGGGCCAGCACAGCCACCGGGATGGCCAGCAGGGACAATGGTAGGCACCACAACCACCAGGATGGTGTCATGATCCACTTATACAAGCAGGAGTTATGATGGTTCATTAACTTATCCTAGAGTGCAAAAGAACACGGAAGGGGATTTTAGTATTAATCAAAACAAATGCACCCTTTATTGAGTGCCCACAGCAGATGTGATAGAAGGATTAGAAAGGAGAATAAAGGATAGAGAGAGAGAGAGAGAAAGAGGGGGGGAATAGCTACCAATGGAGAGACGAAACCCTTGTGGTCCAGCTAATAGATCCGTCTTGTCATGACAGGGAGAATCTCAAAGTGTTGGTTGTATTATAGTCCTCCACCAAGGTGGGGAAGAGGTAAGTTTACAGACAGTCCATGTTCTCAGCAGTGAGTGAGACCAATTGTTTTCTTGGTCCAGGGAACACACCTGCAGGCAACACTTGGCAAACATCTTACCTCAGTCCGGCCAGCCCCCTGTGTTAGAGTTATAGGGGTCTCAGTCCGTGGGAGGGGGCTTCAATCTCCGTCCATGACAGTGGTCATGAGGCAGATGAGGGATCTCTGTCTTTGCGATGGTTGTGAGGCAAATGAGGAAAACTTCAGACTGTCTCTTACAGATGATCAATGGGGACAGGTGACACTCACTCCTGGCAGTGGCTCTCGTGGCTGAAGATGCACTTCTGGAGCGTGTCCAGGGTGAGGAGGCTCAGGGGCTGCGGCATCTCCAACTCCCCTGGCCCCCCACCAGCTGCCACTGCTGCTGACCCCCACTTGGCCTGCGGGGAAGGACTGGGTTGGGGAGGGAACAGGGAGGGGATCAGGGACAGGGGATAAACTGGGGGGTGGGACAGGGGTGGGAGAGGGGGAAGAGTGGGAAGCAGGTGTGGAACAGGAATGTGGTGATGAACGAGGGGTGGGTTGGGGTGTGGGGGCAGCTTTGGGTTTGGGGTACGGGACAGTACAGAATTTGGGTACAGGACGGGACTCAGGGTGCAGGACAGGACTCAGGATGCAGCAGTGGGTGCAGAACAGAATTCTGGGTGCAGGACTCAGGGTTTGGGATGCAGGTTGGACTTTGGGGTGCAGCACTCATGATTTGGGGTGCAGGTGGAGACTCATGCCCATCTGGGATCTCTCACGAGCAGCACACGGGTGCTCTGGTTGAAGATTGCCAGGTAATTCTGGAGCACATCCCCATGGAAGGCGGGCGTCAGGAGTCGCCGGTGCCGTGCCCAGCGCTGCCAATTGCTCAGCAGCAGCCCCTCTCCTGGGGAGGGGACACCGAGGTCCGCCAAGGGCACCCAGGGGGTTGTCCCTGTCCCCCACCGCCCCTGTCCTCTGTGACACACAGCAATCCATCTGGGGACACCCAAAGATGATGTCCCTGTCCCCCACCGCCCCTGTCCCATGTGGCACACCTGGATCCATCCTAGGGGGCCACCCAGGTGTGCTGTCCCCACCCCTGTGACACCCAACTCCATTCGCGGGGCACCCCGGGGTGCTGTCCCCATCCAAACCTCCCCCCCCCCCCCCCCCCCCACTCACCCAGCCAGGGCTTGAGGAAGCCGTAGAAAATTTTATCCTTGGGGGCCACAAAAGCTGCAGGATACAAGGATGGGGTGGGCAGGGATTCACTGGGGTGCCATCAGGTTCCCTGCCTGGGGACACTGGGGGTGGCACCACCCTGTCTGCACCCATTAACCCTCAGGTGGGGACCCTCTCCCAGCACCCATGGCCACCAAAGGATGAGGGTTGGGGGACAACTAGAGGCTGGACATGGTGACACCTTTGAGTGGCCTTGGGGAACCTCAAGGACAGGTTGGTGGCCACTATGGGGTGGCATTTGGCCTGCCAATGGTGACACCTCTGGGGACCTGTGGGCTTGGGTTGGTGGCCACTGCCAGGTCTCTGTGCCAGGTGCGGTGACACCCATGGGTGGCCCTGGGGACCCGTCTGATGTCCCATGTCCTACCTGAGGCACTGAGGAGTGGCTGGAGGGTGCTGGGGTGGAAGAGGCGCAGCACAGGCAGCCAGGGAAGTCCCCACCAGAGGCAGCCATGACGATATTGGGCCACCAAGGTGTCCACCTGCTGTAGGCCTTCCTCTGTGCTCTGGCCCTGGGGACAACAGGACATGTGTGCCATTGGGGGCACAGATAGGCTCAGGGACATGTGTGTCCTCAGCACACTGCCAGCCTTGGGGACATGTGTGTCTGCCTCACTTTCCCCTTGCAGGTGCCACCACCCCGTCCTCACCATCCCCCCAAGTGCCACCACCCCATTCCTTCGGTCCCCTCACAGGTGCCACCACCCAATTGTTCCTTTGCAGGTGCCTCCACCCCTGTCCCCACTGTCCCCGCAGATGCCACCCCCTGTCCCCTCACCATGCCGGTGTGTCCCAGCAACCAATTGCGCCAGGGTGGGATGGGGAACTTGTTCAGCTGGAGACAAGTGGCCCGGAATCGGGTGACAGCCACCAGCGCATCCCAGAGCCACCGCAGCAGCAGGGCCACCACGAAGGTGCCCAGGGCCACTGCGCCCAGGGAACCTAGCGCTGTGGCCACCGCCATAGAACCGCTCCTGGGGACAGGCAGGGGACAGGGCAAGGGTCAGGTGTGGGCGGTGTCACCCGCGGGGTCACGTGGCACGGCTCTGCGTGTCACCGGATCCGCCTTTTGTCCTAATACACATTCTGGCGGCAGCATCCTCTGACACGTCCTGGTGACTTCTTGTGCTGACATGTCCTGGTGGCAGCGTCCTCACATGAGTATCCTGGTGGCATAGTGTTCCCCTCTTGGTGTGTCCCCTCTCCTTGTATGTGTGTCTCTGTGGAATTTGGCAGGCAACCCCAGCAAGGGAAGAGATGAGAATCTTGACTCCATGTTTCAGATGGCTGTTTTATTATTTTATGATATATATTTTTAAAAAATTATATACTAAAGCTATAATAAAGAAAGAGAAAGGAGACATCAGAAGTCTAGTAAAAAAATGAATTAATAATACAATCTTCTAACTGCTCACAGCCTCAACACAGCTGGACCTCTGATTGGTCATTAATTAAAAACAACCACACAGGCCAATCAAAGATGCACCTATTGGTAAACCATCTCCAGACCACATTCCACACCCATCAGATAGTTATTGTTTACATTTCATTTCTGAGGCCTCTCAGCTTCTCAGGAGAAAAATCCTAGCGAAAGGATTTTCATAAAATATGTCTGTGACATGTCCCTGTCCCCCCCATGTATCCCTATCCCCCCTTCCCTCTGTGTATCACTGTCCCCCACCTATGTGTCCCTATACCTCTGGACTTGTCCCTGTCTCTTGGGACCCAGGACATTCTTCTGGCTGCCCTGCATTATTCGAGACCCTGGCAAGGGGCTCAGAGACCTTGGCATGGAGTCAAAAACACCTGTGCATTCAATTTTAATCCATGGGAAAAATTCCCAGCTTTGTGTGAAGATTTACAAGCCACAAGAGTTTGAATAGAATGTTAGTTAATTTATCACAGAGTGAAAAAGTAGAAGTTTGGGGTTTTAGAATGGGGGTTCAAGAGGCAAGATGGAAGAATCTGGGCATGTCCTATCCTTCTCCTTCTTGTCCTCCATCTTCTGCTGGGATGGAGACACTTTTTGATTGGTTTAGAGTAGAGACAGACTGTCTAACATAGGTAATAGATATTGGAAAATTATTGTAAATAAAGTACATGTAGTTCGTAGTATAAAAAGTTAACACCACCGCAAGGACAGTCACTGTGCCACAACCTGACCTGCTGGACAGATCTCAGCAGGTCAGAGAAAGAATATAATAGGTAAGAAAAAATAAACAACCTTGAGAAGCAGAACTGACAAATCTCGACTTCTTCGGTTGAAGGGCTGAGAAGAAAAAAGACTTTCTAACACCTCATGGGCCATCTCAACCCCAGAAACCTGAGACCTGTCCACTGTTGTGTGTCCCTGTCCCCTCGGAGTGTCCCCGTCCCCATCTCCCCTGTCCTGTCCCATCACGTGCACCAAGCACTGTGGCGTAGCCACATCATTGCCAACACCTATGTCACTGCATGTCACAAAGGGCCCTTGGACACGCTGTCCCATTCCATGCCATGGTGACCATGCTGCATGGTGTCACAAAGTGCCCTTGGACACCCTGCCACCTGCCCTGGGACCGCCCCCAGCCCCCCCAAAGTGGCCCAGGTTGGAAGGAATGCCTTGCCCCAAGTGTCTCAGACCAACAGGATCTTTAGGAACGGCTCAAATCATAAGCAAAGGCTGCCCTGCTCTGCAGGCTCAGGGCAGCAGAAGGAGCCCCCACGTCTGCAAACACAGCTGCAGCAGGAAGGGCACGGGGCCATCCACAGAAGCTGGCATGGCCTCCTTGGGACAGGTCCTGTCTGGTGGCCACACTAAGCATGGCCGTGTGAGAGAGACAAGGAACGTGTGGGCCAGGGCATGAATGCTGCTCTGAGCCCTGGGGCCCGGGGAGCACTGACATCAGGTGTGGCAGAGTCCCTGCCAAAGCAGAGTCCCTCTGAGCCCTGGCAGCACTGGTGCCCATCTCCTGCCCCAGAGACCTGTGCCTCGAGAGGGCTTCTCTGCCAGAGGGCAGCCAAAGCCAACGTGCATTGGGGGCTGTGCTCCATCCTACAGGGGCTCCTGGTAGGAGCACCTGGAGCAATGGTGGCAACACTTGGTATGTGCCAGATGATGTTGCTCCTTCCTGAAATGATTTTTTCATAGAAGGCATTAGCAGTAGCACAGAAGCACCAACAGCTACTGAATTTCACATGACAAAGAGACTCCACTGAAACACTGTCATGTTTCCTTGCGTTTTTCTGTCTTTCTTGCATTTTGAAGAGAAAGAATTGGCCCAGCCTCTCTTATTCAATGTTTCGCTAGCTGTGTGTCTTCCTGTGGCAGCCCACGTGCAAACACAATGGCTGCCTGCTGAGCACAGCAATGGACGGCCACAAACAGGGAGCTCCCCAGTGAACATCAAGGCAGACACCTGGGGAAGTGCAGAGGATAGGGATAACTCTGGCAGGAGAAACTGTTCTGTGCCTCTGATGATGGTGCCAGGCCCCTGAAGGAGCAGCCAAGACAAGTGCTGGAAGCAGCCATGTTCTGCTCTTTTCTGCTGTCAGATGCACACAGGACAGACTTGTTGCCCACAGGTCCACCAGACTTGATCCAGGAACAATGGAAGCCCATGCATTGGTAGGGAATGGCCTCCAGCAAGAGCAAAGCAGGATGTTCCAGCAGGAAGCCCTGAGCTTGCAAAGCAGGCCACATCCTCAGCAGACACCAAAGTGCTTTCCTCCAGCCCTGAATGTCGACCACAAGTGCCTCCATTTCTTCAGCGCCTGCTGCTGCTGCTTCCTTTGTTCCAAGCCAGTCCAGGATTTTGGTTGGAAGCTTATGCACATGTTTTTAAGGTGCCTGCACGGAGGAGAGGGATGGCAGCTGCAGTGCAGAGCTCATGTCCCTCTCATGATGGCACCAATGCTGCTGCCTGGGGATGCCTGCCAGTGGAAGGCGAGTCATCCCTCAAGCACAGCCATTGAAGTCAGTCAGGGGCGCAGGCTGCAGCTGCAGCTGCCAAGCATTGCTGTGAGGCTGGCAAGTCAAGAGAAAGCCATTGTGGCCAAGTGTGCTGAACTCTTTTGCCAAACCACGTGCAATGGTGCCCACAGTATCACCCCTTTGGAATGGCAGCTGGTGCAGACACCTCACTGAGCAGGTGCTGGGGTTCAGGGTGCTGCTGTTCCTGTGCATGTTCTGGTGCTGTTTCTGTGGTGTCCAGAGCCACTTCGGCAGCAGCGACTCAGCAGCCCTGCTCGAGGAGACATCGCTGCCCTCACCACAGGGGCAGAAAAAAAGGAAAGCCTCATTCTTAGCACCATGGCCTGGGCAGCCACAGAGGCCCAGGCTGGCCACCAGCCCTGCTCTGCCCACTGCCCTGGCAGCACCCAGTGACCATGCCCTGGCAGGGCCCCCTTGCCCTCCTCATCCCCAGCAAGCCCAGTCTGGGCACCTCAGGGGTGTCCCCACCCTCCTCCTGAGGCCCACCCTCCAGGGCTTATGGCCTCTGACACCCAGTTCCTCAGGGCTTCCCACCAATCCAGCCCTTCAGGGGCCTCCTGTCCCCTGGGTGTCACAGTTTCAGAGACAGACAAGTGACAAGACACACCGTGTTCATGCAGCAACAGCTCCCTTGATTGAGATCTTACTTCCTTCTATACCTAAGAAGCCCATGAGGTGTCAGTCCTTGTTGGCTGAGCCAGTTACTTCCTGGTCAACCAGCCAACAGAAGCCTGAGTCCCCAATGGCCTGGGCCTGCTCTTACTGGTTGAGTTATATAAGTAAGGTAATTATGTAATTGATCACATATTTCCGTTAAAAATTTGTTATTATTTATACTTTGAGGCCTACAGGCCAGCTGTAGTCCACCACACCTTGGAGGCTCCTACCACCCACTCCCTCCCACATGGCCCTCATGCCTTCCCACCACCTTGTCCCATCAGGGCCTCTGCAGCACCTCATCCCTTCATGGCCTCCCACTGCCCCATCATCCCATCAGGGTCTCCCCGTGCCTGGCCAACCTGCCCGGCAGTGGCGCCGCTCCAACGGAGCTCCAGAGGAGCCGGATCAAGAGGAACCTCAGAGGCCTCAGCAATGCAGCCAGCAACACACGAGCAGAAGGACAGAGATGGCCCTTCCTGGCTGGGCAGGAGGGCTTGTGGCCATCTCCAGGCACCAGTCCGGCAGGGATCCCTGCAGCTCTGGTGCTTGCCCAGTCGCCCTGTCCTCAGCTGAAAGCCTTCAGCAGAACCACCAAAGGCCAAGGGACTCCTGGCCATTTCCCCTTTTCCACTGCACGCCTGGCAGCTTGCTGAGCTCAAGGACCCGTTTTCCCCTCTTTCCCTGTGCCCTGTGTATACTGGGCACCAAAGAAAGCTCCTGGGAGTCTGGGTATTAGAACACATTCTATATTTATAGCCTAAAGAAGAACAAAAAAGAAGGAAAAATCTTAAAGAAAATTCCCCCCCTGCTCAGGTGGCCCCACCAGATAGAGAGGCTCTCAAATCAGCTCTCCTCTGAGCTCCAGCAGCACAGCCCACTGTGGCCCCACAGACAAGGCTGTTTCTTCCTTGCCCTGCAAAATCGATCTTGCAGCTTCTGCAAGATGGAGCCCAGAGCTCTTGCCACAGCCCGGAGGACAAAGGCTCTTTCGAGCACCAGGCTTCTGGTGGCAGGGCTGATGTCCTCTGTCTTGTCTTCAAGGGCTGCGTGGGAGAGGAACCATGCCATGGTCAGATCCCGGATCTTTGGTGACCCGAGGAGAGCCCCGTGCCAGGGCCATGCCAGCCGGCTCTGGCCATGGCCAGGAGGGAGCAAGGAGCAAGGGGATCAGCCCGAAGCTGCTGGATGCTCTTGCCACACATGGGCCTGAAATCGGTGCATGCGCTCTGGCTACGCCAGGTTTGGTCCGCACAGGGAGCAGAGCCCTCAGCCCCGGGGCAGGGCTTGCAGCTCTTCCCCCGGCAGCCCCCGCGCTCAGCCCGCTACCCTCA